ACGTCCAAAGTGTGTGAGATGAAGTCTTACCATCTTTGCCTGTAAAGAGCATTCTAGTCCTACTTCTTCCAGGACAGACCCGTTTGTCATTTTAGCAGTTGATACTTTCCATATTCTTCTCCAGCACCTCAATTCAAATGCATACATTCCTCTTCAGTCTTCCTTATTCAGTGTCCAACTTTCACATGCATATGAGGCGATGGAGAATACCATGGCTTGGTGGTGCACCTTAATCCTCAAAGTAACATCCTTGCTTTTCAACACTTCAGACAGGTCTTGTGCAGCAGATTTACTTTTTTTCCCCCCAAGAGTTTTATTGGCACATAATTTACATATCACATAATTGAGTAGTTCAATCACTTTGGGGACCACGGCTTTTGATCTCTTGACAGTTGCTTCCATGAGCATTGATTGTGGATCCAAACAAGAAAAAAATCCTTGACAACTTCAATCTTTTCTCCATTTTCCATGATGTTACCTATTGACCCAGATGTGAGGATGTTGGTCTTCTTAACATTGAGCTGTAATCTATACTGAAGGGTGCAATTCTTGATCTTCATCAGCAAGGGCTTCAAGTCCTCCTTACTTTCAGCAACAAGGTGTGTTCTCTACATATTGATGGTTGTTAAGAAGCCTTCATCATGAAAGGTGGGAATTATGCCGCTGAACCACCATTCTCCTGACCTTTTAAGTTAACCCCATCCAATGTTAGTTTCCTGGCCTGTAATATATAGAGAAAAATAATAAGAGTTGTATGAGCCCCTAATAAAATGTTTTAAAAAAATAATTCATTTTGTAGAGTTGTCAGAAGATTCACTGGCAAAATATTTATAAATTACCTGGCCCAGTGGGTTAAGTTATGCTTTGGGGTTCTGGTGCTGTTGATTCCCTGTTTTGCTTTGTCATTTCCCTTCGGACTCCTATTGCCTGATGTTGGTAAGCCACTCACCATGACTTTGTTAAACCTCTCAGACCCCAAATGACATGTCTCTGAAACCAAGCCGTTAGCAGTGGATTTCTAAAGCCCTTGGGAAGACTGCCTGCCTTGCTCAATATTTCTCCTGGATGCTGAATTATTCATCCTCCTTGATGGGCTTGGAAGTCAGCCTCTTCCGGAGGGTTTGGATCTATACCGGAGGTGGTGCCAGTTGCTTTGATGGTTAAGTTTAGTAAATGGTGAATGTAAAAAAAGCAAGCAGGTGACAGAGAGGGTTGCCAAGGTCAGAAGAAAGAGGGATATGCCCCGAGGATGAGAGCAGAAAAGAGATTCTCTCTTCAAATAAGCAACATTTCCTTTTGGGTGGTTGGGGTGAGAAGCAAGAAGGAAGGATCATTTAATTGTTATCTACTATGTGTCAGAAGCCCTTCCCACCACCCTCTTGGCAGTTCCGATGCATGGTGACCCCACGAGGTCAACTTGAGTTACCTCTATTTTATAGGCAAGGAAACTGGTACTCAGATCAGTGATGTTACTTGAGCAATTTTATAAAGCTCAGAGTCCGAGTAGAGCTAGGTTTGTCTGTGTGTGATTGACAACACAAGTAGAAGTGCCTTAAGATAGAAGCTTGTTACTCACTGTGGGGAAGATAAATTGCTTGGGGTGGCTGCCCGAGTTCTGTGTGGCCATTGCAATGGATCAGAGAACCCAGCTGAGAAGTGGCGTGTCCTAGGAAGGACTGCTTGAGGCAGAATAGTATAAAGGAGGCTGGAGGGTGGAGGCACCTCTCACCTCTGCCTTGTGAGAATCATCCTTGGGCAGACGTGGAGTTGGATGCTCCTTCCCACTGATCTTGCTCTGAAAGGTAGCTAGATAGGGACAAAGCAGGGGGGAGTGGGGGGGGGGGGGCGCGTGGAGTGTTGTCTCTCCCAAATGCCTACACTAAACGAAAATTCACTGTCCATGCCACAATGAAGAGGTTGGAAAGAAATCAGGCACACTAATTAGACACCTATGGGAAAATCCAAACTGGGTGTGTGCACACTAAGGCTACCTAGGCACAGGTGAAGCTAAACCTGGGTCCACACACGATGCTAGGCACCAACCACATGACATCACACAGAAGTGCCTCCACTCAGCCAATAAGGTCAGCCAGTACCCTCAACCACTTCTCCGCAGCCAGTGGGGATAGCAGGGATTCAAAACAGGCCTCTGGCAGGCCACTCTCTCTTTTTGGGTGTGCTCTGCAAGTGGGGTGGGAAAGGTGAGATTTCTCCCACGTGTGGGCATGTGTGTGCCTGCGTGCCCAGTGGCAGCCCCCTCACTCTCTTGGGATTTCCTGCTCTTGGCTCTGCATGCTTGGTTTTACACTCCAGTTCTCTTATTCTTCCATGTGCTCTCCTGAAACAGCCATTTTCAGTCACAAACTTTCCCACGGCCCCAGCCATGCAGCCTTGCACGCTCTCCAGAAATAGTGCATACCTTTTGAGGCTATAATACCTGAAACTTCCCTTTTACTTGGATTTACAAAAGTGCTTCTGCTGCGTGAATTCTTTCAGTGCTGTGAAGCAAGAACCAGGGTCAACTACCCCAGAAACCCAGCAGCCCCAGGAGGTCAGGTGTGACTTCAGTACCATCTCTTCACCCGCTCACGTGAATAGAGCCCAGAGGCAATCAGTGCACGGCTGGCTTGGCTTCCCACTGTTAGGAACCCAGGCGGCTGCTCCTACCTCCTTATTCTGCTCATGGCATCCACTTCATGGTTCACGAAAAGAAGACTCATCTTGGAAGAAATCAAGACACTTCTCAAAATAGCCTACTGGCCAGAACAGAGTCACGTGACCACTCTAAGCAGGAAAGGGGGCTGGGGCCTGTGGCTATGGGCCTGTTATGGATAGATTGTGCCTCCTCCTTCCACAACAACAAACAAATAAAAATGAAAACCTTACTCCTACACCCTGGTGACGTAGTGAGTTACACATTGGGCTGCTAACTGCAAAGTCGACAGCAAGAAACCATCGTCACTCCTCAGGAGGAAGCTTGACAGCGTCGAAGTGCACGGGGCTGTTCTTCTCGGCCCTCTAGGGTCTGTGTGTCAGAATTGACTCGGTAGCAGTGAGATGGATACCTGTGCATATGCCTCTTTGGAAAGACGGGTTTTCTTTTGTTATGCTCATGCAGACATGCCAGAGCCCTCTCTGTCCTAAACTTAATTCCTCTGAGCAGCATCGACACCGAGGGAAGAAGAACACCAACAAAGGGAAGCTGTGAAAATAAGCCAAGATGTCGCTGTGGAGTACTTCCAGGAGTGTCCCCAGAAGTCACAATAACGAGCAGCCACACAGCCTTCTAGGTTCTTCAGGAAGACAAATTTGATGCTTACAAATGTTCTCCCCACTCGGTTTATGGCATCTCTCAGAGGAGAGAGGAAATAGCTCTTTCATCTTTTTCTGGGGATCCCATATTAACCATAAGGACCCGAGTCATCTAAGGCCAGGCTCTGGGATTTCATTACAAACAAAAGGCAGACCTCAAATTTACTAGCAAGAATGGAAAAGGATTGAAAATAAATTTTACTTCTTAACGGTGAAATAAACAGATGGATCATATTCCTGCAGAAGCAGTTCAATTGGCTATCAGTAGGAGACAGAGAAATAAATTACAATACATCCAGACAATGGAACACAAAACAGACAACAATTAAGATGAGGACATTTCTCTTTTATTGAAATGATTTTTCCTCCAAGCTTTGTTACGTTTTTTTTAATTAAAGGGCATATTACCTGCTGCCATCAAGTGTATTCCACTTCATAGTGATCCTATAGGACAGAGTAGAGCTGAGTCTGTAAATCTTTAAGGGAGCAGAGCCCTCTTCTTTCTCCCACAGAGTGGCTGGTGGATCCAAACTGCTAACCTTGCAGTGAGCAGCTCAGCATGTAACCTCTTATGCCACCAGAACCTTATCCTAAGGTGCACATAAGAGAAATGCAAATTAAAGCTACAATGAAATGCCCTCTCAACCCTGAAAATGACCCTGATAAAAAATGGGGGGAAATGTTCGTGAGTTTGTGGGGAGATTGGGACACTTAGACACTGCTCGTGGGATTTCAAAATGGTATAACCACTATGGAAAATGATATGGTGCTTTCCCAGAAATAGAACAATCCCTGTTACAGCATTATTCATATTAGCAAAAAGATGGAAGCAATCTAAGTGCCCATCGGCAGATGAGATGGATAGACAAAATGTGGCATTTACACACAGTGACATAATCGGCAACCAAAGAGAATAACGATAAGTCTCTGAAGCACAACGTGGTTAAATCCAGAGGACATTATGTTGAGTGACAAATTACTTTTCTACATCTACTGATATAATTATGTGGCATGTGTCCTTTATTCTATGGATGTAGCATATTACCTTAATTGATTTTGGGATGTCAAATCAACCTGGCATTCCTGGGATAGATCCCAAACCAAAATATCACTGCCATTGAGTTGCTTCCAGCCCTGTAGGGCGAGGTAGAACTGCCCCTGTGGGTTTCTGAGGCTGTCATTCTTTATGGGAGTCGAAAGCTGCTGCTTTCTCCTGCAGAGCAGTTGGTGGTTTCGAACTGCTGATCTTGCTTGCTGTTAGCAGTCCAACATGTAACCCACTGTGCCACCAGAGCTTCCTGGGATAGAGCCTACTTGGTCTTTTATATTGTTGCTGGATATAATTTTCTAGTATTCTTTTGAGAACATGTCCTCTAGAACATACTATGTCATATCCCTTGTCTACACAGAAACCCCTCACTAGATTCTCAGTGGACACAAGAGACCACAAGTGGAATTCATCCAAAGCTACCCGCTGGACACCCCTGGGTCTGCTTCATCCTGTTGCACTTCTTGGCTTCCTTATGGGTTTCTTCTGGGAACAATTCAGACCAAATTACTGACATAAATCCTCCTTTCAGGGGGGACCGGCAACAGCTCCCAGCCTATAAGGCACCTACCTGGAGAGGCAGCCCCCCACAAACACCCACACACTGCATACTGACTGGACTCTATTGATTTCCCTGCAGGTGATCTACTCCCTGAACACTCGCCAAGATGAGGCTGAGGCCAGCTTGGAGACAATGCGAGAGGCCCACCAGGAGGAGCTCCAGAATGCGGTGGCAGAGACCAAGGCCAGCCTCCTGCAGGACCAGGGCCGTGCCACCGAGGAAGAGGCCCTGCTGCAGCACATTCAGAGCCTGGAGAGTGCCCTGGAGCAGCAGAAGACGCTGACCAAGGAGGCGCTGGCTGAGTCGGCCTCCTGCAGGCTGGAGACCAAAGAGAGGGAGCTTCGGGTGGAAGCTGAGCATGCCGAGCGGGTCCTGACCCTGAGCAAGGAGATGCTGGAGCTCAAAGCCGACTACGAGAAGAGGCTCCGCCACCTGACCGGCCAGGAAGCACCCCAGTGGGGCCAGCTTCCCCGGGAGAGCCCGGACAATCAGGGGAAACCGGGCCAGGGGCAAGGCCCCGAGATGCATGAAGTGTTGCAGGAGGTGGAGCGGCTGCGCATGGAGAACCAGCAGCTGAGCAAGGACTATGCCTGTAAAGCCGAGGAGCTGCAGGCCACCTACGAGCGGGAGAACGAGGCCATCCGGCAGGCGATGCAGCAGTCGGTGAGCGAGGCCCTGTGGCAGTGGCAGGAGAAGGAGACAGACCTCCGCAAGAACTTCCAGGTGCAGGAGTCCGCCCTGCAGGCCCAGGTCAGGAAGCTGGAGGGGGACCTGGAACACAGGGGCCGCAAGATAAGTGACCTCAAAAAGTATGCCCAGAAGCTGAAGGAGAGGATCCAGGTAAAGCACGTTACTTCCTTTCTCCTCCATTGTAAGCACAGCCCCTATTGTCAAGCTTCTGCTGTGACCCAGGCGCTGGGCTAGGCTCTTGGCCCTCCCCAAGGTGGACACCACTACCTTCGGTGCCTTCAAACAGCAAACATCTATCCTATACCTTCCCATAGTCACGCCTGGGGCTCAGGACAGGAACTATGTGGCAAACTCATTCCTTATCTCAAAGAACCATGACACCTGGAATTTACAGGTGAGAAGACAAGACTGGCATTGGGAGACACAAGGACGGGCCTAGCAACCAGCCATCAGTTGCTATGGAGTCCACTCCAGCTCAAGGCGACCCCAAGGGTGTCAGAGTGGACCGGTCCTCCCTACTGTTTTCAGTGGCAGCGTTTTGGGAAGTAGATCACAGGCTTTTCTTCTGTGACTAAGTACGTGACAGCTAACCATTTGTCCTACCCTCCTAGCTGAGGGATGCCCTGGTGGTGTACTGGGTTACACATTGGGCTATCAACCCTCCAAGGGAGAAAGATGACGGTATCTAGTTCCATAAAGATTGAAACCCAAGGGTAGTTCTACTCTGCCCTATAGAGTCACTCAATAGAAGGGAGTTCCTTTGGAGTTACTGAGTACCCAGCTAGTAAGGGAGCAAGATCAGTATTTGGATAGGGGCAATCTAATTCTGAAGTCCCTGCTCAGGATAACATCTTGCCTGCCCTGTAACCCTTAGGATTTATATACTGTGGAGAACCAGACCATGGTCTGAGTTGGTTATCTGAGCCCTGCTAGCCCACGGCACGCCTTCTCTAAAAATAATAGCTGCTAAGTGTCCTAAGACTCTTTGAGCATGTTTTCCAAACTAAACACGTCATCTCATTTAATCCAACCACAGAAAGATTAAGTATTGCCCAGGGCTGCATGGCCATTCTGAGGATGGGCAGGGACTTGATAAGCTCTGGGCCTCAGAATTCCAGGGACCAAGGGCTTACCTGTCCACTTGTCTACCTTGAGATGCAGTGAATGATTTGTGTCCCAGGATGTCTCCACACAAAACCCTGCCTAGAGAAATGAGAACCCTCCCTCCCTTCTGTTTAGGACCTGGATGTGCACCTCAGGGAGGCTCGCCAGGAGAACTCCGAGTTGAAGAGCACAGCCAAAAAGCTGGGAGAGAAGCTGGCTGTGGCCAAGAACAGACTGACGCTGCAGGAATGCCACGGGCCGCAGAGAAGCGGTGAGACGCCTTGCAAGGGTTTCCTCAAAGATCGGAGGTTAATGGCCAGGTTGGCCTGGTGCTACTTGCAGACTGGAGGTGGATAAGGGAGAGGGCCGGATGGCCTAGACCCACCCAGTGGGTCAGCCCAATTCCTGAAGAGACCCTGGTGGGCTGAGACCTAGAGGTGTTGCATTGCCGACTGGCCTCTAAGGATGTCTTCGTCTCCTGGTGCTGCTAGAACTGAAGTACCATAAGTGGGGGGCAGGGGTGGGGCCAACAGAAATGAATTTTCTCACCGCTTAGGAAAATAGACGTCTGAATGCAGGGTACCAACTCTAGGGGAAGGCTCTCTTTATCCACTTGGAGGGAAAACCCTTGTCTCCGCTTATCTTGGTATTCCTGAGAGATCTCCACCTGACATCTATTGCCCCCAATCGTTTCTCTGCTAGTTGTACTATTTTATATCTCAGAAGGGATTGCCTTAAGAGACCCCCCACCCCACTGATATAGTCTCAATATAGTCTCATTAACACAATAAAGGAAATTATATTCTCAAATAGGATTATATCCCGAAGTATGTTGTGTCGGGGCCTTCATGTGGGTCCCAATGGATCCAAACACGGCCTGAACCTGCACCGTCCCCACGCTGCTCCCATGTTGGAGCCCATACTTGCAGCCATTGTGTCAACCCATCTTGTTGAGGGCCTTCCTCTTCTTGACTGTCCCTCTCCTTTATCAAGCATGATGTCTTTCTCCAGGACAGTCCACCAGATCGCATGTTCAAAGTGAGACAAAGTCTCTCCATCTTCACCTTTAAGGAGTATTCTGACTGTACTTCTGCCAACAGAGATTTGCTTGCTCCTGAATACTTTTTTCCAGCACTCTACATCAAATGCATCAGTCCTTCTTTGGTCTGCCTTATTCATTGTCAAGGATACCACTTTGGAGACTAACGTGCTCCTGACCCAAGCCATGGCTCCCACGGGGCCACAATTCATTCGTAACTGGTGGCATGCTTCAAGAGACTCCTTTACTCTCAAACATTGGCTCCCAGGGGCTCCCCACTGTACCTTGTTCTCAGGATGAACTCTCCTGCCCCTTCCGGAAAACTCTTTGTACTTGAACATGATTTCACACAGACACATGATTAGATCTCCACAGCAATTCTGTGGGATGAGGGCAGCCAATGTCACATGTTGCAGATGAAGAAATGCAACCAACCAAAGTGAAGCAACAGAGTCCAGGTCAGACGCTTTTTCATGTGGGTATATCTAACTCCCAAGAGCCTTCCATTACTAAGTAGCACCTATTGTGTGCACACTTGCTGTATGCCAGCCTTGGGGCTGTGGACAGAAGATACGTGGTCGCGACTCTCACAACAATCTCACTCCTGTGTGTCAGTAGATCTGTGGTCCACAGGGTGTCAGTGGCTGATGGCTTTGTGTGGGGGTCATCAAGCCTGTCTTTTGAGATCCTTCTGGATATGAACCTCCAACCAGTTAGGTCGCAGCCAGCCACGCTGACCAGTTGCAATACCTGGGGAACTCCAGACGCTTGCTTGGGACACCATTATATGTTCCCGGTCAGAACAAATCAATGATTTGAATACCTGAAGTCTGACCAGCTTGACAGAGGGAGAGATGATCAAAGCACACCAGCTGGGAACTGCCTTTGGGAAGCCTAGAGGATCCTTACACCACCGGCCAGTCATACCTTCGCTTGTCAGGCAACACGAAGGCTGAGCTAGTTTCAGAGGAGGAGTTAAAAGACCTCAAGGGAAGAGCGTCCAGGACAAAGGCAATCACCTTGCAGGGGAGGAGAGGTTGGGGGTGGAACCAGATAGAGCAGAGCTGGTGGTCATCTTTAGGGAGCAGACTGTCATATCTTTCCCTGGAGGAGCACCTGGCAGATTCAAACCACCAACCTTCCAGTTAGCAGGCAAACACTTTAACCACTGCACACAAGGGCTCCTGGTCAGGGATTGTTGTTGTTAGATACCATGAAGTTGGTTCCAACTCATAGCAACCCTCTGTACCTCCCAGTTGTTCCTCTGCCTGAGCCCATTGCTGCAGCCTCTGTGTCCGTCCATCTTGTTCAGGACCTTTAACTGCCACTCTACTTTACCCACCATGATGTCCTTGTCCAATACATGATTTCTTCCGACAACATGTCCAGAATATAGGAGACACAGCTTCACCACCCTTGATTTCAAGGAGCATCATGGCTGTACTTTTTCCAAGGTACATTTGTTTGTTCTTCTGGCAGTCCATGGTACTTCCAATATTCTTTACCAACATCAGAATTCAAAGGCATCAGTTCTTGATTCTTCCTTATTTGTTGTTTACCTTCCACAGGCACATGAAGTGATTGAAAATACCAAGGTTTGTTTGAGTCAGGCCCACCTTAGTCCTCACAGTGACAACGTCACTTTTTAACACTTTAAAGAAGTTGCGTGCAGCAGATTTACCCAACACATGCGTCATTTGATTTCTGGACTGCTGCTTCCATGAGCTTTGAATTTGGGTCAGAGCACGATGAAATCCTTAGCACCTTCAGTCTGACACACAAGTGGTGTTGTCAGGGCTTAGAGGAAGAAAAACCATTAGCAATTTCAGCTATACCTTTTTTTTTTTTACATAATCTTTTCTATTCCTATTTAGAATTTACATATATCAGGGCATATGCTCAATTTTTTTTAAAACCTGTTGCAGGATGCCCTCAAGCTGGCTCTGATTGAAGGGGAATATATATATTGGGATATATATATATATATCCCAAACGCTCTGATTCAAGGGGAATATATATATTGGGATATGCTCAATTTTTTTTAAAACCTGTTGCAGGATGCCCTCAAGCTGGCTCTGATTCAAGGGGAATATATATATTGGGATATATATATATATATCCCAAACGCTCTGA